ACGTGTGGTGCTGCTGACAAAAAACACAATTGACATCTGTCTTGGCTCTTAACCAAGATGTCACCCAGATTGCACAATCTGACAAGAAACGTAAAAGCCAGAAAAAATTACAGAGTACGTCCAAATCTAGAGTTATTTTTGAAGCTAGTTTTTTTGGCCAGTCATTTTGAAATGCAAACTAAACTCTGAAACGAGCCAATGAGCTTTCTATTCTCTCATTCTCGCCCCTCCCCTTCCACACCTGTCCTGTCAACTGAGAGCAGAACGTCTGGAGTCAGGCGAGTGGAATCTAGCATGTAATATGATGATGATGTGTCTCGCACTTTGAAGATGCTGGAGAAATGGAGCTCTTGCAGCTCAGAGATAAGACAGATGGATGCACGAGCGCAATAAGTTCGTCTGGCTTTTTGACTCCAAAAGAATTTCGAAGGAAAAGGATAATTGAATATTGGCATACTTGAGATGTAATTCACATCAAAGCATTTGAAACGCAGCTTCTCCCATGTCTGCGTTCACGATGGTTGTGCTAAAATGTGCTTTAATCAACACCCTGAGCTTGTACTACAAATGACAGGATAATGGTCACTTTAAAAGCGGATAGCAATCTCAACAGCGCTAACATAAAAGCCCAAAAATGTAATTTAATATGCAAGTGAAATAACATGATTTTCTCTGCCCCCTTCCGCCTGGTCGATATTCATGTGTGTGTTGTGGAGGGGCTGCTAATTAAAGTCCGGCACCTGCATGCTGTTGGCAGGAGATAATTTAGAAGTTAAAGCCTCCCTCTGCCCTCCTTTAGACTGTCTACTGTGTCAAGATTCTCTTCCAGCTAGTCAACTCTTTTTGAATGCTTATTTTCAAAAAAGGAGTTTCAAAAAGGTCCAAATGTCATTACTTTGAATTTGCAGGCATACAGAAAGATTTTATAGTCCTGATTTCCAGTCTTTTCCAGATTGTAAGTTAAATTATACATTTAGTCATATTGTCATGTTTTTGTCATTTAAACCAAAACTTTTGACATTTGACAGAGAGAACACTGACTTTTAGTGTATGAACTGAAGACAGAAATTTGCTAACAGCAATATAAACATTGCACTGGGGTTCACAGGAAATAATAACAGTCTACAGGAATCTAATACAAGTGGTCATCAACTTGGGGTGGGTATATTTTGATAATAGTGTAATTTGAGGGGTCAGATTAATTCTTATAGTAAGAGACAACAGTAACCGAATATCCTGCTGGCTACGCCAAATGAAAAACACTTGTTCTACATGAACTGATCAGAGTGATGTTTGGAGTTTTACAGTCAACAGTACATCTACCTGCAGGCTGTGGACTATTGTTGGCAGCAAACCAAATAGCATCATTGAATAAAATGTAATTTTTCATAGAATTGCATAAGAGAGAATCCATCTGATAATAATTAAACAATTTCCCGACCAGTGGTGAGTGAAGATAGCGGTTTCCCGTAGCTTTCGTAATTGCATTGCTTGTCTGTTTTGGAGTTTTCTCATCATGGTTCCAGATGGCATTGGTATTACATTGGCAGATCCAGGTTTTTTTTATATAAAGAAAGAAAGAAATTAAGAAAAAATGGGAATATTTTGAATACCCTAAAGGCTATAGTGAAATTACAGACAATTGCTGGGTTATGGCAAATGCATCATTACGTCTTCAACAGGCATTTGATAAGAATAATGAGGCGGTAAGCTACGTTAGGAGCTAAAGCCTGCACTTCTACTTTAAACACATGCCTTTAAGCCAATTAACATGCGTAAAAGTCTGAGAATTTGACACACTATGCAAAGCCGACACTCAATTTTCATTATGTAATGGAGTGTAGCAGCAAGCATTGTTTAAAATTACCAGCCAATTTGCCTTTGATACTGAGAGCCATAGTCTTCTGAAATTCAAACATATTAATTTTGCTATTTCTCTCCGAAAGGACGCCATTCGCAGAAAACTTATATTTTCATTTGAATGTCACCAACTCGGAGCACTTCCCATCAGAACGCCTCTGTCTCATTTCCCAAAACAATCATCTCTCAGGGGTTGTGGAGTGGAGGCAGGCCCAGTGGGGGCAGTTGATACTTCTATTGCACACAGAGGGCTGTGCTCATCTTGTGTAAATATCTCAGCATGAAGTGACTCACTGTCACGGAAACGGGTGTGTGGAGGCAGGCAGGACGACGAGGACGACACGGATTCCAATAATGACATTTATTGTAGACACAACAAGGCAGGTTCAGGTAGGTGAGACACACACTCGGGGTAACATTAACAATAACCGACACTAATACTCAGACAGACAGGAACTAATATGGGGTGAATAATTAGCGGCAGACAGGTGAGCACAATGACGGTGATTAACTAATGATTAGACGGGCTAAACCAACACAAAGGGAAGAAACCACAACAAACAGTCCACAGGGGCGTTACACTCACCACTGTCTCGGCTCTCATAAGCACAGGGTTTGGTTTGGATTAAGAAGAACTGTCTTTCTTTCACATATGTAGACATAATCAGCTGCTTCTGTCTGCCTTTCAAATGAACTTTAAATACTATTTTTTACTATTACTATCACAGGGCTAAACAATAATGATGGCTCACTGACCTGAGGCTAGTGTGAGAGAGTTTTGAGGCTAATGAATATTTTATATTCATTGATTTAGTTGCTATCCATTTTTATGCTATGCAACTTACTCTTCTCCTGATATTATCAGATGAGGTTTTGACCAAATTTTGAAAATGATTTGTGATAGTCTTCGAAAAAACTGGTTGAAAACCACATCAATCCATAATGGAGCTACAAGCAGCATTATATAATTTGCAGCTTGTTGCAAATATTCTTTTTGTTAAGTAAAAAAAAAAAAAATGACTGAACATAAAAGTAATAAAGAAAACATAATATTTGGAAAAAATAAATTGTCACACCCCTGGACTGTTTTTGATGTGTTTTCATCCCTCATGTGCTCTGTGTGACCTAGTTTATGTTTCCCATTGATTATGTCATTTAGTTCAGGTGTGTCTTGTCTATTATCCTCGTTTACAAATGTACTTAAGTCCCTGTCTGTTCAGTTAGTGTTTGCCCGGTCTACTACGTCCCTACGTGTGCTCCTGCCTGTTCTGTCCTGGATTTACGCTTGTGTGGATTTATTAAAGACTATTTGCATTAATCTTCATCTTCTGCGTGCGTTTATCTCACCGTAGCTGTGACATAAATAAATATGTATAGGATAATTACAGTAATTTAAAAAAATTACTCTAAAACATAACACAGTGCAGTGCAAAAATTTAAAATACAGGTGTAACACCTGTAAAAAAAAGTACACTATACAGTATTACAGATTTTTTTTAGAATGCATATAATAATAATAATATATCTAGCTTGTTATAACCATGTTTTCTTTTTGCAAATGAATAATTTTTTTAGGATATATATTATTTATTTATTGCTATATTATTTATATATAAACATTTAATATTTATATATTACATTTAAAGCAACAGGCACCTATCTTCAACGGGCATTTAATGAAAAGCAGAGCACGTATATTCATAAAAAACTTTTTTGTTGAGCCCTTCTAATATCAATACTATTCTTACAGTTTTTTCTTTTGGTGGAGAGTGTGTGAAGACTAAATCTGGAGTGCTCCATTTTGAGTATTTTCCAGGACGCCTGTGGAGTTAGGAAAGACCTGTGTGTAACATTTCAACTGGTGTGTCCCTCAGAGGCGTGTTCTCCAAGACCAACAAACCTGTCTGCGCTCCTGGCCTACATTGCTTAAAAGCGTTCTGTAATGCATTATAAATGAGCACGGCGCTCTGTGCAGACAGCCCTTCTCTAAAGTAGGCCAAAGCTCTGGACATTTCCGAAACTTTCACCAAGACTAAATTCTTAAAAATCTGACCACGTCCAGAGGAGTGCAAGGATCAGCCAGTCGAATGGAGTCAGGCATTCATCATTACAAACAGGATTAGCTTGTAGGAACGGGTTGATTAAATGTTCTGTCTTTATCTGACATTTCCATTTATGAGACTCACAAGTCTCACTCAAGTGGCAGTGGGATCTAAATGTTTATGCTCTTTCTAAGTAACTCAAGTCAAGTGTACCAGCAGTCAAGTGTGCGCTCAAGCTCTGCCAAGATGGACATTTACTAAGCAACACTTTTTTTTGCATTTAGCTTTTATCCAAACCGACTAACAAAAGCAATTCTTCAAGGAACCAACAACATTCATGATATATTTGTTATTATTATTTACAAACCCACATGACTTTCTTCCTTTCAAGAAACACAAAGGCAGTTTTTGAATACATGGTCAATATTTTTTTCAATATAATTATGGGAAATGGAAAAAAGCAACATAAATGTACAAATGCATCCTCATTGGTTGATTTCTTGCTTATTTGTATTTGGAATCTACAATGTGTATACATTGGTTAACAGCTGACTTTTTTGTTGCCCACACCTATTCAGGTTAACATATTTAAAGACTTTCGAGTTTGAATGTTTCTGACATCCTAACAATATGTTTTGAGAACAGTGTAGGTCCTTTTCTTCTTTTTTTCATGAAGCAAAAATCAAGGTTACAGTGATGCGCTTACAATGGAAGTATTTTATAAAAGCACTTACATAAATTATTCCTTTAAATTGTTTGAATTATTTGAGCTATAAAGCTGTTCTCCTCATTTTACATTAATTTTTAGAGTTTTACTGGTTATGCTGCCATGGCAGCATTAGATGACTTTACACAGAAAAGGTTAGAAAGTGATTTTTTCACACTAAAATCATATTAACATGCATGTTGTTTATGTTTTGTGGTTATACTTTTGACATGGTGAGTATTTTAACATTTATAGATAAGCACTTGGTTTTGAACACATAAGTACTTGCATAAGTGTCACACTCTATTCAAGATTTTAGCTGTTCATTTTTGTGGTAATCAACATTATGCAAGTGCTGTCACTTTAAGACCAACTTGTATTGTACCTACTTGTACTGAGCTTCTATTGAACCCACACAAGTGTGTCACGTCAGCTCGTATTTATAGAGAAAAGTAAGTTTACAGAGTTGAGCTGAGGTTCCCAAAATACATTATATTGATTTTGTTTATGAAAGTTTTGGGAAGGATCTGTGTTGTGTCACTTCTGTATTAGGCCTTATTAGCAATCCAACGTCTCTCTGTACAGTGATGTAGATCAGCTAGTAAACAGATTGAGATTGTTTGTGAACGCAAGGCTCAATCGTGCTCCGGCTTGCCCATGGTTACAGAGCTGTTGTCTGATTATAGTAAAGCATCCACAAGGGCCTAATCAACACATCCGTTCAACTGGGAGAACTTGTTTCCCCTTTTAAGATCATCATACATCACTGACAGACAATACATGCTTGTATTCTAAAATGTATTTAATACTCTTAATAAAACTTCTAATGCCTCCATGAGCCACAAAAATATGGGTGTCAACAGACAGATCTTTATAATAAGATTATTTAAATTTTAATCTTGATCTCCTCTCTCTCCGTTTCTCTAGATATCCAGTTTTGATCCCAATGATATACTTAGTATGACAAAGGAGGAACAGCCAGGAAATGGAGATTTAAATTCAGAGACTCTTTTCCTGGTCCCATCTACATTTAGGACACGGACTGTGCCGGCTACCTCCTGCAGCTCTGCTGGATGGCATTTTCTCCACACAAAGAAGCTGATGCTGAGACTGACAGCTGCAAATGAGTTTCTCTGCCCAATCAGAGGAGGCTTGTTCAGATGGATCTACTTTTCGACAGCTGTTGAAGGACTTTTATGAGACTTTTGTCTTAGATGCCCACTACCTTGCCTTGTCATTTCAGAAGTTAGGAACAGGGAATAGGACTTTGCGAAAAGATAGAGAAGAGGCCGTTGTGTCCATAAATCTCTGCAGTATACAGTGCTGTGAAAAAGTTTTTGCCCCCTTCCTATTTTTTTTTTTGCATATTTGTCACACTTGAATGATTCAGATCATCAAACAAATTTTAATATTACACAGAGATAACCCGAGTAAATACAAAATGCAGTTTTAAAATAATGATTTCATTTATTAAGGGAAAAAAGCTGTCCAAACCTGCCTGGCACTACGTGAAAAAGTAATTGCCCCCTAAAATCTAATAACTGGTTGTGCCACCCTTTGCAGCAACAACTGCAATCAAGCGTTTGCGATAACTCGCAATGAGTCTTTCACATCGCTGTGGAGGAATTTTGGCCCACTCTTCTTTTCAGAATTGTTTTAATTAAGCCACATTGGAGGGTTTTCGAGCAAGCATGGACTGTTTAAGGTCATGCCACAGCATCTCAATCGGATTTAAGTCCAGACTTTGACTTGGCCACTCCAAAAACTTCATTTTGTTTTTCCTGAGCCATTCAGAGGTGGACTTGCTGGTGTGTTTGGATCATTGTCCTGCTGCATAACCCAAGTGCGCTTGAGCTTGAGGTCACAAACTGACAGCCGGACATTCTCCTTCAGGATTTTCTGATAGAGTGCAGAATTCATGGTTCCATCAGTTATGGCAAGTTGTCCAGGTCCTGAAGCTGCAGAGCAGCCCCAGATCATCACACTACCACCACGTTTGACTGTTGGTATGATGTTCTTTTTATGAAATGCTGTGTTGGTTTTACGCCAGATGTAACGGGACACACCCCTTCCAAAAAGTTCAACTTTTGTCTCATCAGTCCACAGAATATTTGCCCAAAAGTCTTGGGGATAATCAAGATAATCAAGCCTGCAGTTCTTTAGATGTTGTTCTGGGTTCTTTTAGAACCTCCTGGATGAGTCGTCGTTGCACTCTTGGAGTAATTTTGGTAAGCCGGCCACTCCTGGGAAGGTTCACCACTGTTCCAAGTTTTCCCCATTTGTGGATAATGGCTCTGACCGTGGTTCGCTGGAGTCCCAGAGCCTTAGAAATGGCTTTATAACCCTTTCCAGACTGATACATTACAACTATTTTGTTTCTCATCTGTTCTTGAATTTCTTTAGATCGCGGCATGATGTGCTGCTCTTTAAACATGCTTCACTTTGTCAGACAGGTTCTATTTAAGTGATTTCTTGATTCAGCAGGTCTGGCAGTAATCAGGCTTGGGTGTGGCTAGTGAAATTTAATTCAGCTTTCTAAAATATTGTGGTTAATCACAGTTCTTTCATGATTTAAGAGGAGGGGAAATTAATTTTTCACATAAGGCCAGGTAGGTTTGGACAGCTTTTTTCCCTTAATAAATGAAATCATCATTTAAAAACTGCATTTTGTATTTACTTGCATTATCTTTGTATAATATTCAAATAGTTTGATGATCTGAATCTTTTAAGTGTGTCAAATATGCAAAAAAATAAAAAAAACAGGAAGGGGGCAAAAACCTTTTCACGGCACTGTATGTCATGTTTGTACTGCTCTGAAGCCATCGGTTGGCTTTTCTTGAAGTAGCAAAAAAATATTATTTTGATTTCAGTTTGTCCCAATAGGATCAGACACATCAGTTTAAACTGCAGTTAATATAAAATTTCTTCTTTCATGCAGTGTTTTAAGGTGCGATCATATTTACCGTTGTTCTGCGAATTTTTGCGGGCGAAATCCAGACATTTTATGGCGAAATATCATGAGGGAGAAATGTTTTCCAATGCAGATTTCTCATCAATGTTGACCAACAGGTTGGTTTGGAAGCTTATATATATAAACTATAATAGACAATGGACGTTTGTTGTCCACAAAATTTTGGAGAAAATTCGCTAATATGAACGAACCTTTAGACTGCTTTGGATTAAACATGATTTGGAATTTTCTAATTCTGTTTCCAAGAAGCGACATCACCATTTTAGAATACTTTGTAACTACTGAGATTTCAGGCTGGGGAAATCATTTCAACATAAAGCAACAGATAATAAAGAAGAACGTTCCTTTATTGACCGTAAGAACCTGAAACTTGACTTCATGGAGTGTAGATCTGGAAGTCACTTTATTGTAGAAATACAGCAACATCACTTTTTATCCCTATTGAACTTGTGCACTGAGTCGAAACCAACTAGACATAGGTAAAAGTAGCCACTGTTAGGCTGTGAGTATTCACCTGCAATAACACACACTGTTGTGCTGAGTTGTGTTGTGTATAGAGAAGAACTTGTTGTGATCTTGTTTATCTATTTAAGGTGAAACTAATAGTTTTCCCCTTGTGAAGGGAAGAGAGATGTGTTATGTTTTGGATTAATAAGTTATAATGGTTATAAATTGCCTTACGGTAAATCTGTAGTACATGCCTAGCACCTTGTTCTGTGATAGTGGTTGGTATCTCAGTTGAAGTGTGATATGGCCGTCCACCTGTTAAACTTCTCGCTGTTTTTATTATGGGGTCCGTGGGTGGGATGGGGGGCAGCGGAGTTGTAATTGCACTTGTTAACTTTTTACTGTTACAATCTGGGAGAAATAAAGATTTATCTTTTGCAGTGTTTTTGGACGTCTATCAGATCGCTAGCTATCTCTTCCTGCTCCTACTCGAAAGGTATTTTATAAACTACTGTGCAAAAGTTTGCCACCAGCAAAAAATAAATAAATAAAATAATTAATTCTTTCATTCAGCAAGGACACATTGATCAAAAGTGTCAGTAAAGGCATTTATAATATTACAAAACATTTCTATTTCAAATAAGTGCTGTTCTTTTGAACTGTTTATTCATAAAAGAATCCTGAAAAAATATATCATGTTTTACACAAATATATTAATGTAAGTGGCATAACTGTTTTCAACATTTATAATAATAAAAAATGTTTCATGAACACCAAATCAGAATATTAGAATGATTTCTGAAGGATCATGTGACACTGAAGACTGGAGTAATGACGCTGAAAATTCAGCTTTGCCATCACAGGAATAAAATGTGAAAATTGCAAAATATATAAAAATAGAAAAAAGTTACTTTAAATTGCCATAATATTTTACAATATTAGAGTTTTTCTGCATTTTTGATCAAATAAATGCAGCCTTGGTGAGCATAAGAGACTTCTTTCAAAAAAACATTATCTTAACCCAAAACTTCTGAACAGTAGTGTCTCTATTTTATTTGTTATTCTGTTAATTTTATCCTTCTTTAAATTGGCCATATCACTTTTTTGTGGTAATTTTGTTACAATAAGGTTCAGTTAGTTAATGCATTATGAATCATGAACTAACCATTAATAAAAAACGTTTATGAATCTATAGGTTAATATTAATTTTGCATACTACTAATACATTTTTAACATTTTAAGTTGTATAAACTGACATTTATGTATTATCAACGGGCATAAATTAATACAATTTAAACAATAGCGCATTTATAAATTAGCATTAAACTAGATTAATAAATGCTTAATGCATTAACTACTGTTACAAATTTAACCTTACTGTAAAGTGTTTTACTAATACTACAAGTCTACTTATAATATTAGTAAAGTCTTGCACATTAAAAACAGACCATTTTAAATCCTCTGTGTCTCTTGGAACCATTTTTTGCTACTGTGCCTTTAAGACAAATATGTAAATATCGTATGCTTTTATAGTACAAGAAGTGCAAAAATATCTCAAAGGAGAATTCTAAGTCCCCTTTAGACTTCTTTCACACGCCAGTCTGTCAAAGACGAGTGTGACCCAGCACTCTCCAAAGTTTCCCATCTCACCTTAGAACAGAGGTGCTGTTGATTACTTCTCCAGAGGAACGACAGTAGCACCTGCCTCTGTCTCCACAACGAAGGCGCCTCTGCTGGACTGGTGGAGGGGCTCCTCCTGCTCTAATTGGTTCCAGGGCTGGAAGTTTGTCTCTGAGGGGATAACACAGCTCAAATAAGTTTGTGCGACCGGCTATTTCTGGACTTCCCGTCTGAACATAGAACCGTAGGCCACTAAAGTGGCACAGCCGCCGACTGACGCTTTAGGTAGACTGGCCCTGAGTTTTTGAAAGTGAAAGTCTCATCATTAAAGCCGGAGTGATGTGAATTGCAGAGAAACACATGTGACACAGGTGTGAAACTAAAAAAAAAGACAGATCTGAAGATTCATAATTGAGAAAACGAGGAAGGAAGTGAGACAGAAAAAGAGCAACAGACAATAATCTGATAATCACTTTCATTTGTCACTAGTTCTAGAAGCCTCGGATCCGACCTCAACAACAAATCACAGAAACTGCATTAATCTATTAAAGGTCTATTTATAGTCCTGCCGCCATCTCGTGTCTGAGGGGAGACTGGAAGCGATTCTTTGGTGGGTGTGAAGTTAGCATTAAACGGATTAGCTCATTAAGCAGAGGCAGGGCTCTTTATGTATGCATTAAAACTTTATCATGCTCTCAGAAGAGCTATTAAATATCACAAAGCCCACTAGACACACACCGAAGTTACATTCACCTCATATAGGCAATGACCCTCACGGGACCATGTTTGAATGTTCGTATGTGAATCCTTTCCTAAACTAATGATTTCCTAAAACCGAAATGCACTGTCTGCCCCAGTTTGAGTGTCATTAAAGTATCTTTCAGTGGTGTCCCTTAACAGCATGTCTCTTTATCTTTTCTAATACACATTTCCACAAATGGTTTTTCCCTTTTTCACAGAGGATATTCGCCGTTCCATTGCACACCTGTTCAAATGTATTTAGGATGCTCTCTGAGCAAATGCAACTAGGTCAACAATATACACTACCGTTCAAAAGTTTGGGATCAGTAAGATTTTTTATATTTTTTTATTAAGTTTCAAGGCTGTATTTATTTGATCAAAAATACAGAAAAAAAACGGTTATTTTGTGATATATTATTGCAATTTAAAATAACAGTTTCTATTTTAATGTACTTAAAAATATAATTTATTCCTGTGATGCAAAGCTGAATTTTCAGCATCATTACTTTAGTCTTCAGTGTCACATGATCCTTCAGAAATCATTCTAATATGCTGATTTATTAT